GGGCGCCTGGCCGCCTCCCCTCGGCCGCGCGGCGCCCCGGAGTGGGAGCGCCCGGCCGGCTGACTCAGGGTGAGTCTGCAGGTCGTGGGGCGGGAGGGGCGCGGGTGACGCGCCGTCAGGGGTGACTCAGGCCCCGGGAGGCGGGGGCGGCGCGCGGCAGACCTGCAGAGCGAGGATGAGTTGGCAAAAGTCGCAGTGCCTGGCCGCCGGCTGTCGGAGCCCTAGTGGTAATAGCCGTGGAGGCGATAATCGTACCAACAGCAGTGATGCTGCGAATCCAGTGCTGCCTGTGCCAGGCACTTAGGCTGTGTGTTCACTTACTTAAACCCCCAAGCAACGCTGCAAGGGAGGTGTGATGATTGTTCCCACTTTACAGATAAGGAAACTGAGGCACAGCGAGGTTAAGTGATTTGCCCACAGTCACGGAGTTAGTAAGTGGCTGACCCAGGGTTGGAGTCCAGGCAGCCTGGCTCCAGCGTGCGCTTGGAGCCGGCCGCCTCTGTTCAGCAGAAGTAGTGTCACTACAGGGTGTGCTGAGGGAGTGTGGGCACTGCCCCGAAGTCCCACACCGTGTCCTCGCTTCCCCACAGCGCCACCAGGAAGCAGGTGCGGCTCTTGAACTGCTTGTCCCAGGTAGGGCAGCTGAAAGTGCAAGTCAGGTCGTCTGAGCCCAGAGCTTGGGGCCACCTCACCACCAACACCTGCTTACAGCTGTGGACGCCTAGGCTGCAGCAGGCGTAGTGGTGACGTGCAGACTGCCAGCCCCACCCTCTTCAGCTCAAAGCCCTCCATCCCCTGGAGCCCAGGTTTGGCACCCAGTGTCATCTGGAGTCAGGGGGAGGTAAGCAGAGGCTCCTGGTTTAAATTCTAATGTTTATCAGCATCGAAGGCAGCATTAGGGCTTTGGCACAGATTGGCCTGCCTTCAGATCCCATCTGGCCACTCCCTAGCTGTGTGGCCTCAGGCGAGTTGCTTAACCTCTCTGAGCTTCAGCCTTCTCTTCTGTAAAGTGGTTGTGGGGAGATTGTGGGGACACTTGGAGATAGTGGCTGATGGATGGCAAAGTGGCGGGTAAATCAGGGCTTACATAATGGTAACCAGGGAAGGTGACCGGATTTATCATGAACACCCAGGGTGCTGAAGGAGAGGCCACATTAGAGAGCAGCAGGAAAGGCTCCCTGGAGGAGGGGCATTCAAGCTGGAGAATGGCTTGGCCCTGGAGAAGGAGAGGGAAGAAGTGGGTGATGGTTTAGGGTGTAGGCTCCAGAATCACTTGAGTGGTGTGGATTGGAATCCTGGCTCTGCCACCTACCAGCTGTGTGACAGCGGGGTGGGGGCGTACTCTGTGCCTCAGTTTCTTCTCTGGATTGCTAGGGAGAGTATAAAAGAGGATAATTCGTGATGTGTTTAGAAAGGTACCTGGCATGTACACTGCTGAATAAAAGCCAAATGGGAGGGACAGGCCAGCCCCAGGAGCAGAAGCAGGAGGTGGGGCAGTCCGGACCCAGGTGGAGATGTGCATGTCAGGTTTGGTTGGCACCTGCATGGGGAGTGCATGCCCACCCTCCCAGCTGGAGAAGGCATCCACAGTGTGTGTGGGGGGAGGGGCAGCTGCATGGGCCAGTCACTGACACTTTCTGAACCCTCTGGGAAATGGGGTGATGCTCTACATTGTGGTGAGTGTGGATCGAGAGGATGTGCATGAGCGCTCTGTGCATTGTGTAACACCCTGTTTTGTGTTGAAGATCATTCACGTTGTGCTCTTAGTCTCTGGCAAACCTTGGAACACTGAGGCCATTACGAATTTGACTTGCACTTTCTCTTTCTGCAGTTCCAAAAATATAACCCCTGTGAGCACCTAAGTCATACTTTGTTTCAGGAGATAGAAGTGACACCCACACGTCAGCCCCAGAATGATTGAGAATTAGAGAATTTCATCAAAAGGGAAGTTGTCCCTTCTAGAACCACTTCCTCATTACAGGAAGTAAGAGACAGGAGAACAGCTTCTGGAATGGGAAAATGGAGATTGACCTGAATTCTCATCATGGTGTGCCCAGTGAGGCCCCCATTCCTGGTATTAAATTCTGTATGTTAAGATACCTATGGTTCAACTTAAAATGGCTTAAACATTAAGATTTGTTTTTTCACATAATAAGATGTATGGAGGTGGGTATATCCAAGGTTGGTAAAGAGGTAGATGAACAGTGTCATCAAAGACCCAGGTTCTTTCCGTCTTTCTGTATCATCATCTTCCGTGTTCTGGTTTTTATCCTCAGGCTTGCCCCTCACGGTCCCAAGATGGCTGCTATAGCTCCAAGCATCACATCACTATACAACAACTTTCAAAGTTAGGACACCTGTTTGTGCCTCTTTTTAAAAGTGAAGAGACCTTTACTAATCATGTCCTGTCCTTTACCCAGGAGCCTTTTCCTCACATCTCACTGGCAAGATTATATCACGTGGCTATTCCTAGACCAGTCCCTGGCAAGGGGAGTGGAATGACCACGATTGGCTTAGCTTAATTGGCACTCACCTCTGGGTTCAAGACGGTTTACCCTCCCCTGATGTTCATGGCCCCTGATCCCTGTATACAACTGGCAAGGCCTGGTAGCTGCAACCTAGTCTTCCTCTGGGGAACCTCCCTCCCCCCGCTCTCAGGACAGTGTGGGTGGTGGAGCAGACCCCTTGGGGGTCGGTCAGGGCGAAGGAGAACCTGACCAGGCCTGCCCAGTCAGCTGTTGCGTTACATTGGCCCTTCTGTCCCTAAACCAATGAGACTGAGACTTAAGCCTCTTGCTGGGATTAAGATGAGTACCTTCCACTGGGCTGATGTAAGCCTGGACCTGGAAGCTGGAGAAACTGTGGGATGTACACAATATGCTTTGTTTTAGTTTGGATTCTCCTGAGAGTAGACCCTGAGACAAGGACTTAGGCACAGGTCGTTTATTCGGGAGATGCTCTAGTTATTATTGCTGTAAAACAAACCACTCCAAAATTCACTGGCATAAAACAACCACTTTATGATCCTCGCAGACTCTGGGGGTGCAGAATTCAGACACAGTGGGAACTGCTTGTCTCTTCTCTACAATGTCTGGCTCATCAGCTAGGAGGTGATTCAACAGCTGGGGGTGACTTGATGACTGGGGCTGGAATCATCTAGAGGTGACATCACTTACACGTGTCACAGATGATACTGCCTGTCAGCCAGAACACCTCCGTGTGGCCTGGACTTCCTCATAGCACGGCCGCCAGCTTCCGAGGGCGAGCGTCCCAGGAGAACCTGGCAGAAGCGCCATGGCCTTTTCCAGTCTGGTCTTGGAGTCCTATGGCACCATTTTTGCAGTGTTCTATTTGCAACAGCTGTCACAACCCTCCCTCTCCTGCCCAGCTCAAGGGAAGGGGACAGAGACTCCATCTCATGATGGGAGGAATAGCAAGGTCTCCCACAAGGGAGATATCATTGTGACACATCTACTGTGGGAGATGACCCCAGGAAGTTCTGGGGGAGGGAGAAATGCCAATAAAGGTACTGTGCTCAGCAGGCTGACTTGGTGGATGGCCAAGGCTCACTCCTGCTGGGGACTCAAGAAATCATACAGTTCTGGTGCATGAGCCCCGTGCATCAGAGTCATGCATCAGAGTTGTCCCTCTAAGGGACGGGGGTGGCATATGTAGTCACTGGTTGAGGGTGGCCTGAGGATGTTATATCTCTGCCATTTCTGGGCTGCTCTGTACTTGAACCAAGCGAGCGTCTGAGGATCCACAGGATGAAGCTGCCCGCTTATGGTGACCTCAGAGGTGGCCCGAGGGAATAAGGGGCAAGACATCAATAAATTCCTTTTCTGTCCAAACCAGCCGGAGTCCATGTTTGTTGTTTGCAGCCAAAGGCCCTGACTGCCTGCTCTCCCCATCCTGCTCCTTGGCTCCCTGCTCCTCCCCTTCTCTTTCATTTCTGACAAAGAATCTGGTACATCAGGCATTTGGGAATGTGAAGGACTTTCTTGAGTGTTTGGGAAGACGAAAGGATTACTGTGCCATAAAAGGAACATAAATCTTATCTTTCCCTACCCCTAAAATGCTCTTCTCCACTTCTACAACTCAGCTTGCAGGATTCTGCCGTGTTGCTTGGTCTCATTCTCCCTTTCTGTTTTCTTCTCCATCTCCTCTTTGTCCCCTTTACCAATCCATAAGCTCCTGTTCTTATTTTAGGCAGAAAGTTTTCCTCTTTTTTCCTGCAGCTTTAGTGCCAGCTGAACAAATCCTTGGGGTCTTGAGGCAGCTTTGCACTTAAACTGCTTCTCCTCATGGTCACAATATGGCTGCCAGTGCCAGTGGGGGCAGCTTCCTTTGTTCATGTCATAGTCAGCCCAGGCTGCTATAACAAAATACCATACCCTGGGTGCTTAAACAACAAATGTTTATTTCTACAGTTCTGCAGGCTGGAAGTCTGAGATCAAGGTGCTGGCAGATGCCATATCTGGTGAGAGCCTGCTTTCTGGTTCATAGACGGCCATCTTCTTGCTGTATCCTCACATGGTGGAGGGGCGAAGAGAGCTCTCTGGGGTCTCTTCTTATAAGGGCACTAATTGAGTTCATGAGGGCTCCACCCTCGTGACCTAATCACCTCCCAAAAGCGCCCCCTGCTAATACCATCACACTGGGGATTAGGCTTCAACGTAGGAATTTCAGGGAGACACAAGCATTCAGTCCATAACAGTTCACATCCTAGAGAAGAGAGACGACTTCTCCCTCAGTGATGATGGAATTGATGCGATGATTGGGCTGGCTTGAGTCATGTGACTATGCAGGATTAACACTGTGTCCGGGAACGTGCCCTGTGCTGAGCTGCTTAGGCGTGGGTGCTGGAAGCTGCCACCCCCGGGGTGACTCTGACTGGCTTAGGGGAGACCAGTCGGCCACACCGCTGGGTCCAGCCTCCTCTGAGCCACCTGGATGGGTTAAGTGATGGATGTGTGTCTGAACAAACGTGAGGTCTGTTGACGAGGAAAGGGTGGGGTAAAGGCTTGGTGACAGTGTCCCGTCCCCTTGGCCCATCTTTGATTTCAGCCGAAGTTGTGGTGGGAAGTTCTGTACAAGCCGGGACTCACCCAGTGCTGCCAGCTTCCCGGCCCAAGCTCCCTGTGTCTTCCCCGTCTTCCGTCCCTGCGGGAGCTCTGCCCATTCTCAAGCCCATCCCGGAAGCGTTGCGTTGTTCACCAATGGGGACAGGAGCCGGTGAGTAAAAGCCAGTCTTCCACTGTCAGAGTTAGACAGTTAGGAGAGGCGTTCCAGACCATTTGGACCTTTCTGGACCCTTCTCAGAGACCAGCAGTCCCAGCCCCGTTGCTGCAGTGGCGACCTCACTAACACACCCTCTGTCCCATTCTTACCCCCTCACTGCTGCTCCCTGGGGTCACCTCCCAAATGAACTACTGCACTTAAGTCTCCGCCTTTGCTATTGGGGAACCAAAACCAAGGCAAAGGAGGATTCCGTGGGTTGTCACCTGTAGTTCTGCACCTTGTCTGGGTTAAAATTACACGTCTTATTAAATGTGTGACCTTCGGCCAGTCCCCTGTCTGTGCCTCTGTTTCCTAACCTGCTAAATGGCCATAACAATGGCATCTAACGTTTAGGGTCGTTG